GGGGGGGGGGGGGGGGGGGCATGTTGTCATTGTGTCACCACCAGTAATGAAATGTTGCTCTGCTTCTTGTTAACTGTCAGGAGAAACAGGATGTTCTCCAGCATTTCTAATACTCCTTACAGTGTATGTAAACACATTTAACACATTCATCAACGCAAATTACAAAGTGAGAGTCAAACTGAATTATTTTGACAAATAAGGCAGTTTCTGTACAGTCTTTATCTTTGCATGTCTATTGGGGAGTTTTTGACCACCAGCAATGCTATGGAGCAATTGTTTGATGAGCGGACTGCAGTTTTGTTTGGGCAGTTGAGAAACAGACAGGAAGAAGAAGGCTGGGTGTAAACGATGCAGGTTTTAAAATGTAAAGAAAAAAATATATCTCTGCAAAGGTTTTATGAGGAAGAAATTGCATTAAACATTTTTGTCAGACCTCAAGGATACACACAATGCATTTTGGTGAAGGAAATTAAACAGAATTTGTGTTTGTTTACAAGAAAACTCTAACTTTAAAAGTCATGTGAGTGATGACGGACAGTTTGCTGGTTTTCTAGAAAATGGTTAAAAATCTCAATTTCCCAATGGGATGTCTTCACATTGTTTGTTGTGTTCGACCAACTGCCCAAAATCTGTCAATTTATACACATTATTAAACAGAGAAAGCAGGCCATTATGTTTGACACATGGCATCTCAGCTTCAAAAATGTCTGAAACTTTTTTTATTGATTATCAGAAAGTTTGCTGATACTTACATTTCTTGCAATAATATGTAAAAGAAATAGGAAGGAAGAGAGCTAAAGAACTGACACATATAGAAAGTGTACTTCATTAGTGAAAAGGCTTATGGTGTGATCTTCTTAGCTGTCTGATGTTTAGCTTTTGGCTGTCTGCTCACATATACCCTGTTTACTGTATAGACTCTTTCTCAGTGCTTATGTCTCGGTATGGGAGAGAATATTTTACTGCACTACGAGCCGAAACCTTGTTATTAATGATTTTACTGTTGCTGTTCATCTCTGTGAGAGCAGTTTTAAAGCTTCTGTCTTTTGTCTCCAGCTGTCTAATGGAAGACACACTCTCCACTGATCTAAACAGACTTATTGGATATAGAGACACTCCTTTAAAACCACGCAAGACTGGCAGTCAGCCATACACACACACATACACTAAAGGCCCTTTGTATACTAGCTGCTTTGTGCATTTTATACATAAGTACTTGTGTTTCAGCTATCA